CTTTTATTATCACTTAACTGAAAGCAATTTTTTGCATGCCTAATACCTTAGATTGAAGAGAAATTTAAAATTCCAACATACTTCCAATATACAAGGACTGGAAGTTCCAACATTCTTCTAGAATCGTTCCACCGGTACATCTCGAGGTACTAACATGCAGATTTATATTGTTGCGTTCTACGGGTTGGTAGATTTGGAGTGATTGATGAGAACGCTTGATGAAGAATCAAAATACAAGTTATTAGTCAGTATTACTTAGGACAGTTCCAAAAAGACGTTAACAGTCGTAGGAAAGACTACGTTAAACATGCTGAAACGATCAGCAAGCCAGCCTTCCGGCTATCAAGTAAAGACAGCTTCGTGGCAAAGCACTAAAAGTACAGCTCCAGACGCGGTTCGTTCGCTTTCCGGCTAATCTCTGAACTCAAAACACTGCTATTGAACTCAACAGCACTATTCTATTACTCAAGATACTTTTCACGATAAACTGCTACTCCGCGTACAGCCAAGGTTTATATTGCTTTTGATTTGCCTTCGAGAATATGCTGGGGAAAACCGGTAAGAATGTTCCCGTTCCGTCTATGGCATATGGCCAATTTTATCGTCAAATGTTGCCAAATGGCGATTTTGTGACAAATCTGGCGCCAATCCTGCCTTGCCACGTTCTGGCAATCCTAAATCCGCTTTAAGGGAAAGCTATCTTACCGCAGCTGGGCTGATAGCCTGAAGGCTGTGTTGCTGATCGTTTCAGCGTATTTATCGTAGTTTTTCGACGACTGTAACGCGTCTTTGGACCTGTTCTGTGTAATACTGACGAATGACTTGTATTTTGAATTTTCATCCAGTGTTGCCATCAATCATTCCAAATCCATGAACCCGTAGAACGCAAACACTGGTGTCAAAAGTGGGACCTAAACTGGACATTTCGTAACAATATTAAACCTCTGCTAGAAATAAATAATAATAACCAGTGAATAAAGTTTTTCAGCATACTTTTTATCCCTGAAACGGAAAAGTTTCAAATTCCCTATGTATTTGGATTTAAAAGTTCGAAGTTTTCTCGAAGCTTTTATTATCGCGCCAAGTGAAGAGAATTCTGTATATAGAATACCCTTGTTGAGGAAGCAAACTGACATGACCAGAGTTTCTAAAAGAGGATAATATTTTTACCGTGCATTTAAAGTTATTAATATACTAAAATGAATCAGTATTTTATCAATGAGCTGTGAAAATATTTTTTTTTTTTTGCATACTTAGAATTCTGCTAAAAAGTATATTATAAGGATTGATTGATTCCTAACTTCACGCGAAATTTCCTGCGATGCGAATCTCTGCGTACGTGTATATTTGAAATTGATGAAGTGTCAGTTTGCATCTAATTCTTTCGAATGTTGTGCGAAGGATGTTTCTTCGCCTACTTAGTTCCTCCTGACCTAATGAAAATCGACAGGGAGAGAGTTTCTAAATATTCCGATAAAACTTGCAGCAGTCAAGTGGATAAGACAAGGAGCTCAAGATATAAAGATCGAGGTTCGAAACTCACTTAAATAGCCTATCTGAGTTGGTAGAACAACGGAATATAAAGATAAGAAGACCCAAAATATAAAAAAGAAATAAGATAAATGGAGACATTGACTAAAATATGTATACAATTTAACATAAAGTCCACTGCCAAAAGGGGCATTTTGTTAATTATTCTCAGAATTGTTTTTATTTATAAGAAAAATTAAATGCAAGTTATTTTTACCATCAATATAAATTCTTTCGAATATCATATAAAATTCCGAATGCTTTCAATTTAATATCTTCATTTTTACAAATATAAGTCCTTACACAAAGGTTTATTACATTAGTGGCGTGGTTAATCACATTCTCTCGCTTCCCGATTCTCGATTGCCCTCGTGCACCCCCTATCGGCGGCTTTTCTACAATGCCATCTATCGGCTGATAACACGTATAAACTTGCATAAGCAGTTCACAGATCCTCAACATACATAGCACGCTCGCAGAGAAAGCATAATTAAGGAATACAGTACCTAATTATCAAGAAATTCTCAGTGCACTTACACCCCCATGTGTATCTCAGGCTACTGAGACACACATGGGGGTATGCGAGGTGTTTATTAGCACCGTGTGAAGGGAGCTTCTTTGCATGAACTTTATCCTTGCTGGGAAGCTAAGTTTACAGATGGAAATTTTCAGCTTGCCGGGATAGTGGCTAGTGACTCTGACTTCCGTACCAAAGGGCTCGGGTTCAAATCCCGAAGGAAGCATGGATGTTTGGTAAATTCATAGTGTCTATGCAGCATGCAGTAACTCTAAATATGTGGCGAGTCGAAAGTTCTCTCAAGAGGTTGGTGGTAAGGGAAGACAGTTGGAAGATCCTCGGACCCGTCCTCCCGGGGTACTTTCCTTCAAAATTGGGCGCGGAACTCAGTAAAGTCATACTGTTGGCCTGTATGGTGCCTAAGTGTGTTGTTAACGACTGACACAATCTTGCCACGATGAATTTCGTGAGCTTCCTCTGATAGATTAGTCACAAAAATAACAGGTAAAAAATAAATTTACCACGTGTGTGTCTTGAATTTGCAAACCTGCAAACTTGAGAAAAAAAATTGTAGAGACATTAGAATTTTTCGGAAGGAAGAGAGATTGAAAAATGAGCAACGCCTTCGCCGGGAATCGAAACGTGGACCTCTGGAATACGCGCCCAGGGTGCAGACCACCACACCACGACGGCACGCTATGAAGGCGGGAGGAATACCTTATAAATTTTCGACATTGTTTGAGAAGGTGAAATGCGAAAATGGGTGTTTCTAACTATCTGATTCGAAAGTTTCTAATGTTTACCTTTGACTTTAAAAGCGCCACATAATGTAAGTTTTCTCAAATGTTTCGTATGGTTGTTGAGATAGTATGCTTTTAAAAGGAAGTGTTCTGATTCTTCTGACTATAATATTGAAATTTCGTAAAGATGTTTTATACATTCTGTTAAAGCAAACGGATCCTTTATTTATTAATTTATTTGTAATTATCTTGATAAGAACAATTCGCTGATCTGATAAATTTCGTCTTTAAATCAGTTCTGTAGAGATGGAATAAGCTTATTTATGACTGCGGTTTATTGTGGCTTAGAAGATTTAAATATGCATTTTCTTTCAAGCCAATCTATAGATACACTCTGCTCACACACACACACCATAAGTGCTGATTCTATATCTCTCGTTCTACTGAGCCGATTGACGAAATTTAATTTGCGTTTTTCATGACTCGAAAATACGACTTAGGATAACTATCAGATTTATATATAAAATTCTTCTAACGTAGAACCTTTGACATAAAATTGGATTTTTTCTGAAATGACATACCATTTTTTCAATATTTCGATTCTATGAAACAAATTATACAGAAATATAGTATATTAAATTCTGTAAACATCTGGTGAGCAACTAACCGAGAAATTTAAAAATTTATCTTGGCGCACTTTTTTTAGTATGAGCGATTAAGAATTCACTTGGTGAGATTCTGAATTTATGCTAACGTATTTTCCTTTTCCTTTCATTGTGCACGAGCGGGAAAATGATGTTATCTTTCATTCTGTCAAATAATTTTAACAAAGCGCGTAAACCACGTTTGGGGTCTTTATCGCTTATAACAAATATATCAAATTTCAAAACGGGCCAATATATGTATTTACGTTTATCCTGGAAAATTTTAATAAAAAAATTCTAATTTTTTGCAGGTGTGTTTAGAAAAAAATATATATTTTAAGCTGATAGTATATAATTCAAAACGTTTAGCGAAAAATTTGTAAAATATACCAAAAAATTAAAATTTTAAAAATAAATCAGAAATTATCTGCAAATTTTATTCGGATTGAACATAAATTTCAAACTATGAAAGAAGAGATCAAATAAGCTTAACAATAAACAGATATTATTAAATATATGCCAAATTCAATTAACAATGGGGAGCTAAAATTTTAAGAAGTAATTTTTTAAAACCTACTCAAGCAATTTTTACAAAAATTGGCCCTTTAGCATAATTGGAGTAATAGAATCGAAATATTGAGAAAAATCAGTATGCCATTTCAGGAAAAGTGCGAGTATGTGCATAGAGACATTAGGTTAATTGGAAAAGCCGGAGAGATGAAAAATGAGCAAATCGCCTTCTCCGGGAATTGAACCATGGACCTCTAAAATACCGGCCCAGTGCGCTGACCACTACACCACGAAGGCACGCTAGGAAGGTAGGAGAAATACCTTATATGTGTCAAAATACTTTGCTATATATAAGCCTAATATGTATGCTAAGTTGTGCTTTCGAGACATGAGAAACGTAATTAAATTAAATATCGTCAATCGACCCAGTAGAACGGAAGGTACAGAAATGTCCCATTTGTTTTGTGCACAGTGTATTTTTAGCAATATTCATATATTCTAAAAGGCTTCGACTGGTGCTTCTTTAAGAAATTTCTCTGAAATCATTTTCGGGATTTCTATCGTCAATATTATAGTTCGACCGTCTCAAACCTCTGGCTGGCATTCTGCCAAAACACTTAGACTTGTCTAAAAGGGGCGTTATTACTTGCTGCGACGTTAAAAGGTCACATGACAGTCTTCTCTTCTCCGGAACGAGATATGCTGGAGGGAAAGAAAGTCCCCATCCTTCCGCCCTATTTTAATAATAATTCGGTCCGAATGGCGCATGCGTGTTTGCATTCATGGACGCGAATGATGCGGTCGAACTATACTTATGAATATTGCTAAAAATACACTGTGCACAAAACAAATGGGACATTTCTGACCTTTCTGTACATTGACGATATTGACCTCAAATTAGAAATGATACCACCCTTTAGCGAAATAAGATAAGAATCTGGTAGTCTGGAAAATTTAGTTTGGAAAAAAAAATTCTTTTCCTCAGAAGATACCTGATAACGAGGTTTGATTTATATACATTTTAATTTTATTTTAATGCATGTCTTTTTTTATCTTGTTAGACAGTATCAGCTCCTCCAGCAACGTAACCATTGAAGCTCCGGAGCCTGTTCAAAAAGCAAGTAAGTTTAGTCTAAATCTTGTCACACTAAGATTAATTATCAGAACTTACAAACAAATGCACTTGAATTAAACTATGTAAGTGACTGAGCTACTGAAAATTAGCTGCTTTAAGATGATACGAAATATGGGAACTACAGGATTTGAATAACAGAACAAACACATAACTAACATAACACTTCAACTTCCAAGCTAATTTATCGTTTCCGGGTCAAATAAAAGAGCTTAAGATCCTGCAATCTGAAGAATATTCTGCAGAATGAGAGGAGCTACCACCATATGAATACCGAGAGCAACGGTCGGAGCAAAGTGAACACGAACATTGCACCATCTGTCGAGAAAAATAGTAACGAATCGTGAAAAGTTATAAAGTATTAGAAGTTTTGTGATTTACGTTCACACAAAAATTATCTTTGTTAGTTAACCTCAGAGTCCTTTTTAACGCGTTTTGAGTTCTAACATCTTAATTTTTCATGATTCATTATTATTTTCCTCGACTCTGGAGCTACGTTCGTGTTCACTTGCTTCATCTATTGCATCGATATAAATATGCTCATCAATCTTCTCATTTTGCAGACTTTGTTTTACCTCTTGAGGAAGAGGAGCTTGTGTCTTCGCAGTCGATAGAGTTTTATTCTAAAGCTACGCCAAAATAATTTGCCGTTTTGCCTAATTTTAAATCATATCTTTTGCAGAATAGAAACACTTTGAAAACTGACTATTTGTGAGGCAGGAATTTATTTACTGTAAACGTTTCATGTTTCACGCAAAAAACGACCCTTGTAAAATTGCATAGATGTTAATTTCACGACAACGTTATGTAATGCGACATTATTATATATCTGCCCCAAAATTTTAAAAAGATTCATTTTTGAACATCCAAATTATTTTTGTCAATACATTTTCTACTCCATTTTGCAAAATGGATTATGCTAAAATACCTTTTTAATTTTTACTCTTAAATGTTAAAATTTCGTTATTTTTGGCAATGAAACAGTCTTAGCAGAACATCTGCAAAACTTCTCAACCATTAAGTTATGTTAATTTCGTTTCTGTCTGTAATATGCAGAATTACATATACCACAAGATAATAAATCGAATATTCTCGTAAAAATGCACTGTCGCCAGCGCATCAAGAATTAGACATAATATACAAGAAACATAAATAAATACTTACATACATTTACAGCATCATGAATATACAGAATACTTCCTCCGTGAAATATGTTTCAAAGAACGTTTAACGATTCATTAAGATGAAGCTTTTACAACCATCTAAATAATTTCTTTGGGGAATAATTTTACAAAATAGTATGAAATATCAAATAGATATTCGATGCATTAGTTATAGTTCCTGATTCAATAATGAATCTTTTTACAGACATTCCCAAGCCCATTGACCTATTGGCTAGTCTTCAAGAACGTCTGCATGAGGAGCTGAAGCGGAGAGTCAGCTTGTCGTCATCAAAAAGGAGCATTTCCGTTGCTTCTTACATCACGCCTTTGTCATCAGCTGAAGAAGTGCAGTTCTGGCTCAGTTCCAAAGGATTCTCCTCCAAGTAAGGGAGTACTTACATCTCTGGAAGCTTTTCCCGTATATTATTGTGTCTGGGCAGCGGTGCTCATCAGCGGTGTTGGTTAGAGATGATTTGCAAGTTGAGGGTACCTGTAGTCAATCCTTAAATCGTCTGTATGACGCGATGCAGTCAAAATATTTTTAAGTTAAAATTAACATGAAAATATCAGTAAGCCACCGGTGATCTCCAGGTGACTTTTAGTTAGCGACCACAAGCGATGACCTTGAGGTGACGATCACTAGCTGTGACCTACGGATTGAATATCACTGCCACTAACCCCATGATTGACGATTACTAACGACGACCTACAAGTTGAAGATCACTGGCGACAAAGCTGCAGTTTGACGTTCATCGGCGATCACCAACAGGTTGACGACCATTGGCGATATTCTACTTGTTAATGACCATCGCGATTATCTATAAGCTAACAATCACTGGCAATGCCTTACAGGTTGAAATCACTGGTGGCGACCCAGAAAATGACGATCACTGGCGATAACCTTTTAGTTGATGATCACTGGCAATCACCTGAAGGTTGATGATCATCGACCATTACGTATAGGCTGACGATCCTTGGTGATGTCCTGCAGGCTGACGATCATTCAGATGGTCATGTCCTGCAGACTGACGATCATTGACAATGACATGTAGATTGACAATCGCGGACGATCACCTATATGTTAAGGATCACTAGAGATCAGTTATAAACTAACGATCATTAGCAATGTCTTATAGATTAACGGTGTAAGATCTACTCTTTTTAGCTATCATAAAATGTGACTGGATCACCTAAGTGTTGCGAATTCTCGCACAAGCTTGGAGATGAACACAACCGGGAGAAGCATGTAAAAGATCCCTTTATTGAGCACATTGTTATGTACAGATCACACCGACTTACAAACACCAACATTTGCGACAAGAACTTGAAAGGCAATGTAACACTAAATTTAAAGGCAAAGAGTAATGCGAAACTACACTCAGACCTACACCGGCAATAACTCAACTGAAAAAATGTGTAGCTGATATTAAGGTTAACAGCTGGAAGAAAATAGCAACGTGCTTTCCAAATAGAGAAATCACGCTGTGTCTAACCTTTTCGCTCCAACAGTTAAAAAATTCTCGTTCACCATAACTTATTTATATACTGGCGAAAGAACGCGAGTGGAATAAAAGAAATCAGGAAAGTCTCACAAATTAAAATAAATGTTAGTAAAAATAAAAAAAAACCAACAACAGTTACTGCCGGTGACCTAGAGGCTGACAGCCACTGACGGTAACCGATATACAGGTAAACACTGGCGGTAACCTATACGTTGATAATCACTGGCGGTGACCTAAGAATTGATTTCATTGGTAATGATCTACAGCTGACGGTTACTGGCAGTCAACTCATAGCTCAGCTGCATGAGGTGATGCAGTAATTCAGATACACTTTTGAGCTAAAATTAAAGCGAATGATACTAATGTTCATCGAGGTTATATATTGACAGTCGTTGGCAGTGGTATACAGATGGTTAGTCATTGGTGACGTGTGGGTTATCAGTTATTATGAATCGATTCGTACACAAGCAATATCAGACTCTACAGCAAATTTAGAATGATTTAAAAATGTGCTCAAATTCAGTTCGTTTTCTCAAAAAGCTGTTAATAGCAGAATACAAGACGCAATTTGAAGCGGATGCCATTCTTTTTAATTAATAAACTGAATAGCTCTCTTCGTAGTACGCTCTCGCAACCATTGTTCCATATAATATGGACACGACAACAACAACAATAAACTGAGTATGCAATAAAATGAGAAACCAAATCCGAAGTTTAAATTGAACAAATTTCAGTTGAAGATTGTGAAATATCTTTATTTTCTCAGAATGATTGCAACTTATAATGGTCTCAACTTGAATACCTTTCAACTTAATATGAAATAAAATGTATGTTTTACCCAATCTCACATCCAGAAAGTGTATGTGGAAAAAGCTTTACCCTATCGTACATAACAAAATATTTTTTTCCTAATTTTTCTAGAAATGCAATATCTTGTTTTCAAAACAATGAACGTTCAGTGTATAACTCTGATCTAAGCAATTAATTTTATTAACTGTGAATTAGATGTATGTTTATGGAATAAATATATAGAGAGGAAAGAGATTAAGAAAAAACACCTAATTATAATTTCAATTACCATTCTGCTGCTACACATATACATAGAATATTTTTTTATAAAATATACTCATATTATAAATGATAAGGAAAGTTACTCTTAAGAATATTTTTTAATTATAAAAAAGAAGATATAGTATAAAACCCGAAACAAAGATAAAATAAGTGCACACATTATTTCCAATAGACTGACATTTATCACTCTAAACGCAATGAAAGTTTATAATTTCAAAAACAAATTTAAAGTTTTCTTCCTTGAATTGACAACTGTATTAGAATTGGCAGTTTGCCAGGAAAGACAAATTAAAAGCTTCAACCATAGGATTGGCAACAGCTGTAAAAATTTGAATTGGCCATTTCGCGCTGGCATGAAATTAATGTTATTATAATTACAACTTTTATTTTTCTTATTGTTAATATAAAATGTTATTGCCACTAGGACATTTTTCGGCATGCATTTAAATCTTCATGTATAAAATCTCCACCATCAAGTCTTCGAATATAGCTGTTATGGTTCTGCATTTCAGGGTTCAGCAAATATACCAAAATATCAAAGGAGAAGAATTATTCCGTTTAAAAAGAGCTGAGTTCGAGAAAGAACTGGGGACAGACGAAGGCCTCCGACTCTTCAATCAAATCGCATTGCAGAAGAACTTCTGTGGGGTACGTAACAGGGAAAATAGTTTCTGATTTCTTCAATTTCATTCCATTCAAAATAGCATTGTGCAAATTTAGCTGAGTTATTTTCGTAATATTGAAATCTTGCCACTTTACAAATATATTCAACGATTTTTACTTGATTGCAATTCATAATTAATGGCTAAATCAACAAATCCCAGATAAGAGTACCTTAGCAGTCTTTCATTTTCACCTTTATCTACTATCTCTCAAAGCAATCGAGCAATCCTCGATAAGGGACACCAACTTAACCATGGCTGGCTAAGTACCAACTCACGGCTCATGCCAAAGGAATCAGTTACCTTTATCCACCATATCTCAAAACAATCGAGTAATCCTGAATAAGGAACAACAACATAACCACTCCCGGCTAACGAGCAGCTTACGACTAATGACTAGTGAACCAATTTTAGGCTACAGCTATCTTAATATTAGATTGTTTTCATTAATGTCATCTTCCGCCTCTCAAATTAAACTAGCAAGTATTAGATAAGTAACAGCTTTTAGCTAAACAGCAGTCCAAAAATCCCAAGCTAATTGGCACCTCTTGGCTAGATCCCATTTAGACGCACCATGGAAGCAGACTTTCCTTACTGTTACTGTCCTCATCTACTATCAATAAAAGAAATCTACAAAATCCTGCAACAGTAGCTAACCGTTGTCAATCTATCAAATCTCGGATAAGGGGACCTTGGCAGTAGACTTCCCTTTATCATTGCTGCCCTAGTCCACCATGTCTCAAACTAATCTAACAACTCCTGGCCATTGCTCTTGGTTAAAAAGCAGCCCAGCAACTCCGACCTACTTAGCGAATCTTGGGAAACACTTTGCCTCAATTACTTGTTAAAGTCCCTTGGCAAGAGACTTTCCTTTTTTTTCTTGTCATCATCTCATGGATCAACAGCGACTCTCGATCAGCTAACCAAATTCCGGTTGAGAGTACCCCAAAAACAAACAATCCTTAGCATTCTTCTTCCACATCTCTTACCTCTCAGGGCTATACCACAATTTTTACTCAATTGAACAAATTCTGGTGAAGAGTATCATGGCAACAACTTTTCTTTATCATTTTTATCCTCATCTAATATAATTCGTTTTGCTTCTTAATAAGGTGTTGCTGAATATATGGATTGAGGTTGGGGACCTTGGAAGCCAAGCATGACAAAGTGGTGCATCAGCCTGCGATCCTTACCAAAAGATGTGCGCAACCTCAATCCATATATTTAGCAGCTCCTTATTAAGAAGCAAAACTTGGTGTGCTAGTTTGTTGTTGTCTGAAGCAAAATTAAACTAACAGTGGGAGCAGAAACTCTTGGTTAGCAGTCACTGTACTAAATCCTGCCTAAGAATACCTCAGGACGTATAGAAGGTGCATACGTCCGAAATGTTAACATAAAAAATAAACACTGAAATTTCAAATGTTAACATTTAAGAAAATTAATAATTCACTGAATACTGCATGTAGAGGGATAAAGATTGGCACACGAGCATGAAATGCCACGACGTTTTATTGAAGCATTAAAAAATAATTATAAACTTTTGGATAACAGCCAGACTTCTAAATCCTGACCAAGAGTCTCTTTCAATAATAAACTTTCTTAATCCTTGTTGCCCTCATCCACCATCTTTGAAAGCAATCTAGACGCTCCTGGCAAAGTAAAAACTCTTTTTTAAGGGGTAATCCAATTACTCTGTCTAAGCAGCAACTTTTGACAATCGACTTTTCTTATCACTATTGTGTAGTTCTATCATTTTTCAGAGGCATCTTGCAACTCCTAGCTGAAGTATTTATAAAAAACTATCTTGTAACTCTTATTTAAGTTCATCACTTTTCTAAGAGGAAGTTCACCCAAATCCTGCTACGAGTAGGTTGGCAGCAAATTTTTTTTTATTATCCTTGTTCTCATCTTCCAGTCTTTCCAAGTAATCTAGATGCTTCTGGCTATGCAATGGCACTTGGTTGAGGAACAACCCAAACTGTTGCCTCAGTATTAATTCTTAGCTAACCGGCAGTCAATTAAATTCTCGCTAAATGCTTTTTGGGCAACAACCTTTTTTAATCAGAGTTATCCTTATTAACCATCTCTCAATGTAATCCATCAAAAGCTAGCTAAATGGAAGAGTTTGGTTAAAGATTTGCACAACATCTGTCGGCAAGTAGCAATTTTTGTTTAACATTCAGTATATCAGATCCGGTACCATAGAAATAGACTTTCTTTACCATTGCTGTCCACAACCTACCTCCACCAGCGGCTGAGCGGTAAAATTGCCGAACAGTTGTAGTTCTATCCGGGGTTCGAATCCCGTCGAAGGGGTTGGCTGCATGGGCGCTTTCGTGGTTGCCCCATATGTAACGTGCATACGAGCCAGTTTCCCTTAGAAAGTCCTCTACAAAGGTATCCTAAACTTAGGCAGATGGCCCTGGAGTGCTTTGCCGTAATTCAGTAAACCAAACCAAACCAGAACCTACAATCTTCCAAAACGTTCGAAGTCAGACCACTAATTCATGGCGAAAAGTTGGCAACAGACATTCCTTAGCATGGCTGCCCTCATTTATCATATCTCAAAACAATATAGGAATTCATGGCCGAGTAACAGATTTTGATTAAGGCGCAATCTAACATTTCATAGCTAAGTAGCATATCTTGTATAATAGCCAGTCCATCAACTACTGGCTATGAGTACTTACGCAGCGGACTGTATTTAACGTTATTATCCACGTTCTTCATTGCTCAAGATAAGTAACAGCTCTTGATTAAAGGGAACCTTCGAATCCTGGCTAAGAAGCAGTTCTTAGCTAACTGTACTTAGCTAACAGTATTTCGGCAGAAGGCCTTTCTTAACGTTGTTGCTTTAATCTCCAGCTTTCAAATAGAACATGAAGACCTAGTTCAAAAACAGCTCTTGGTTAAAGAAAGAACAACCAGCCAGCCACACTTCATCAACCGTATTAGCTGGAGAGGATTGGCCGGCCAGTATCGCACCAACCCATGACTGGACGTTTTCAATGGGTGACAGATCTGTAGACGGTGCAGCCCAGGGCAGCAATTGAATACCCTGTGTATACTATAAGGTCAGAATACGGCGTGCAACTTGTAATCTTGCATATCTTGTTGGAAGATGGCGTTTGGCAGGCCTCAAAGGTGGGATACAGCAACTTGACGTAACATGTCAGAAATGTACCGATCTGTGTTTAAATTACCGTCGATCCGAACTACAGATGTGCTTCTCGTGCTCCCAATAGCTGTACAAATCATTACACCAGGTTCAGGGCCCCCTATGCCAATATCGAATGCAAACAGGCGACGTGCGGTCTCCTCAGAGCCTCCACACCCGCATACGGCCATCAAAATACTGCACGCAGAAGCGGAACTCTTCTGAAAGGGCGACATTGTGCCACTCTTGTATCCAGCTTTGTCGTTCAGCGCACCAGAATTGCCGTCTCTCTCTATGCTACATTGTCAAGGAAAGCGGAAGAAATGGTCGCCGTGCTGATGGTTCACGCTGCTACAAACGTCGACGCACCATACAAGCGGATACTGGGCGTGATGGAAACATGCTCATTTCCTGACTAATGGTCCGTGATGTGGTTATACGGTTTTGCAGGGCTGACCTTACAATATGTCTGCTCTCTCGGGTGTTCGTCATGGGAGGACATTGAGATCCTGCTTGCTGTTCAATATGACCCTCAGCAAGTCATTGATTTCATATTCGCCTGACAGTGATTTAAAATCGACCAGTACGATATCACTAAACGATAATCCATACTCTCGATAAGCAACTATCATGCGTCTATCGAATTCTGATACTTGCTGGTAAGCATTTCTTATTATTCGAGGTATAATAATATATTTTGAGCAAACTCGGACCTTACAAAGCGCTTTCCGAATGAGAAATCCACTATACAGCTTTTCTTTTATGCGTTCGTTTTCTCCTTCCTGTATTGTCTAAATACGCTGAAATACTAATCATTTGCATATCCCAACCTCTTCTTTATTTCATGTGATTTTGGCTTTCGTCAGATCATTCCTTCCTGGTGTTGCAATTTTAATGTCTAGCAAAGTACATTACCAGCACATTTTGATAATGCTTATTGGCCTGAATTATCATTTCTCAAAACAATCAAATAACTATTGGCTATAAAGCAATTCTTGGCTAACAACCAGTTCATAAAATGTTAATTAACAGTGCTTTGACACTGAATGTCTTTGTTATGTTTTCTCATCTGTCAAAGACCCAGCAATTTTTGGCTAAATTATAATAACAATCTAGAAACTAAGGCCCAATCCATATTTTTTTATTTTGACTAGAGTTTTAGAATATCCTGGCTAGGAAGAATACCTGCCTTCAGGCTCAACACATGTTCATGGCTTTGATCACAGAAAAGTTCAAACCACCAAGATTTTAATTAAATGCATTGAAAACTATATATTGTTTACCTATCACAGCTTTATGACCAAGAGAAATAAAACTAAATATTAAAGTCATAAAGTTGCTAACAATGATGGATTTTACAAGGCCTGGATAAAAATGACTGAGAATATTTTTACAGTTTCGAAAAGACTTACCAAGTGTAAACACTGAATAATCCCTCGATATAATCGTCTACCATGTCTACCACATTCTGCCAAGTTATTAGTAGGAGCCGTACATTATCAACACTTCTGTTGGTGTCCCACAGCGACGTCCCTGTCGCAGGGAGGTCGCTGTGGTAGACTTTTGATTTGGCTAAGAGATCAGTCACATGAATTCATATGGGATGACAATGGCTTGTGTTCGAGTACCTACCATCGTCATCACCGCATGAGATCCGTAACAGCTCTCGCATTATGACAAGATGCCTTGTCATAGAAGATGACAGGATTCTTCAAGTGAGAAATCATATGCGTTCAGAACTTACAAGGAGAAAGAGACGACACTTGTGGTAATGTATACAAATCCTCCATGAAAATGCCTGGCGTAATACTGCGAGCGCCTTCACGTATTCCCTGCAATGTTGGCAATGGAAAATAAACCGAATGCATCCCATACGAATCCATGCAATTATGATCTCGCTAAAACGAAAGAACTACTACGAAGGCTCTATTACAACAGTAGAGAAGCTTTAAGGAGCCCGCTATAGGACCATCGACAAAAGTGGACATCCTGATAACATAAAATGGAAGTGCTTCCAGTAACTAGCAGAAAATGGTAGACATTTAGGCGATTATATTGAGGGATTCCAAATGTGTAACCAGTAACTTCACCGGTAATAAAATATTTTCGACACTATCGACGTGTTATTACTACTATTTATCCAATCCTTATGAATACAAATTATCAGAACCAAACTTAATCGAACTGCAGTCACTTCTATTATTTCTGCCTGAATGCTAATTTTTAGGTATAATAATTTTTAGGGTTTGGGCATGTTTCGTTGCCTTTAGAATTAGTGTTTATGGAAAATAATATGTATTACTATAAAAACATAAATATTCTTAATGAGGACCTGAATATATCTTTAGAAAACTTAGTGTCAATTACACTCAAGTTCTAGCAAGATAACGATCCTCAACACAGCTCTTGTGATTATTATAAAAATTACCAAAATTCGTAAATATTCTTCTAATTTAATTCATACCGAACCTGCAAAGAGTTAATTGAAGAAAAGAATAAATAAGATAATTATTCGAAAGTTCTGCTAAAAGCAAATCTTACGTAGGAAACAAATGGAACATTCTTCATAAAAAAATTAGTTTAATCCATGCCAAAGCGGGTGAAAAGCATCATTTTAGCTAAAGGATACCCAATGAAATGTTTCATTTTCTGTTATTTTCATGTTTTTTTTAATTATTTTTATTTATTTTTTTTTAATTATAGAGTCATGTATTCTTTGGTAACATAAACTAACGAGACCTAGAAGATTAAGCCAGGAATTATCCGAGGGTCTTAAGGACGACAAACTCCAAAGAAGGGTGTTACGAACCTTTTTATGAACTAAATATAATTTCACAGTTGGCCCAACTTAAGCGTACACTAAAGACGACACTTCTGGCTTAACTCAAGCAGGTAACGATGAACTTAAAAATCAAATGAAAGTTTAGCCTCACGGCTCACAGGATAACTTAACGCGCAGGAAGGCTCTGATTCGTAAAAGTCGGAATAAACAAATCTAATTGGCTAGAAGCTTTCAACGCCACGTAATCTAATTGCTGGTAATTCAAGTTAGCAACGTGGCCTTCAAGCAAGCATAACACGCTCTAGAATCACCTTCCAAAACATTCCCTTAAACACTTCTTCCTACCTTGTTTAAACACACGCAAGCTAACTTATTAACATTCTGCCAAGATAACGTGGGTTGGAAGCGAGAATCAAAGGAAAGTTGAAAATAAACTGTTAGATAAATTAAATGAATCCCCACAAAACATAAACTGTGTGTTTAAAGTTTCCGAATACTTAGTTCATTTTCAGAATTTTTTTAATAAACTTTAAAAAAAAAACGTTTTCAATAACTTCTTTCAAAAAAATCAGATTTTAAATTTGATGATCAATAGTATATAAGAAAAAAAATATAGTAATTTTTTTATAGCGATATTTTTAAATAAAACTGAAAAACGCAAGTGTCCAAAAAGAAAAGTGAGTCACTGCATTTGGTATCAATTCTAAAGTTCTTTCGCTATCCAAAAGGCAAACGTCACCAGGATTGCCCAAATAACGCTAATAATTGCCAAAGACAAAATCGTACCCTCGACCGAAGATTAACTTTTAAAAAATTGCAAGTTGAACTCTCATTTGAATTTTCTGATTTCAGTTCAAAACTCTCACTTCGAAGGAACTCAATTCCGTTCTGGAAGCTCGGAGGAAGAAAATTGATCCAGACGACGATTTTGCGGACAGACGAGATTCCGCTGACAGCTTTGCAACATCCATTGGATCCAACTAAATATCTTTTGCTTTTCTGGTGTTGGTTGCTGCGAAAGAGGACTTACCAGACAGACTCTATGAAGAAGAAACTGCTGCCATTTCTTGATGCATTACTTGAGTTATTTTTGACCCTTTTGTGATAAAGTATATGTAAACTAAAGCATGTATAAAGAAAAGGTATGTGTAAAGTAAAGTATGTATTTTGTATCAGTTCAAGACACTTGTGGTTTATATAAGTCAAATAAAAGTAAATTATTGAATGCCCTTTTTAAAAACGAAATTTCTAGCTTCACTTACATACTTTAAATTTTCTTAGGCTTTAATAACAGCAGTATTTTTTAATATAAGATAACGATTCTTCTATTTGTTCATTGATTTACAAAACACAAAGGTCATACATTAGAATACGTATACTTTGGAAAAAAAAAAAAAATAAAAATATCTGAAGACTTTCAGATTAAAAACATAAAATCTGAAAGTAACATAAAATCTGAAGGCAGTAATATAAAATCTGAAAGCCTTCAGATTTTATGTTACGCCTAAAGGGGCTTTATTTAACGTTTTGTGCGCTACCTATATTTATTGAATATAATGTTCTTCGCACTTAAACCATAAAATTCAATTCAACAGCAATATCATAAAATAAATTAAAAACAGCATATCTTTAGATTTTCCGATACACAGTCTCGCGAGCAGGAGGTAAAAATATTTCTTCCTATTTTTTTTTTTTTTTTTTTTTTTTTTTTTTTTTGTGCATACGGTGTTACCAATGCTCGCTTTGAAATCGTTGAGTTTGCTAATCTAAATTTACGTTTTACGAAATACATAATAGCATAAATACGAAATTCCAAATTTTGACTTCCAGATGCTTCCATTCGAATGGAGGACTATGATATTCAAAATTTCATGTCTCTAGGCATCGTTGTTTTTTCACAGTGCGAGAAACATACATACATTCATGCAGACTCTTCATTATTTAATTTCTTTAAATACACTCTTAGACAAAAAAAAAAAAAAATAATAATAATAATAATAATAATAATAATAACAACAACAAAATCTGAAATGTTTCTGATTTTTAAATTACGTCCAAAGGGGCGTTTTTTAACATTTTGTGTGTTACCTTTCTTTATTAAATATCATGTTCCTCGCACTTAAACCATAAGATCCAGTGCAACAGCAATATCGCAAAATAGTTTTAAAACGAGCATATCTTTAGAATTTCCGATACAGAGACTCACGCGCTGGAGATAAAAATGAATTTTTCTGCACAACGTTGCCATTCCTCGCTTTGAAATCCTTGAGTTTGTTAATCAAAAATTCGTCAAAGTTTTAAAAAATAGGAAATCGATCATAAAACAAATTTCAAATTTCAAATTTGGTCTTCCACATGCTCATATTCGTTGGAGGATTACGTTATTTAAAATTCGATGACTCTATGTACCGTTGTTTTATCACAATACGAGAAATATACATACATTTATGCAGATTTTTCATTATTTAATTTCTTCAAATATAATGCAGGACTCTAACATTTTGTGGCAACAGTTTGAAAAGTGAACCGACATTTATGAGTCCGACGCAAAATGCCAAAACGAAACTAATAGTCCTTCGGGATTCAAATCCCTTTGGACTAAAAAAAAAAAAAAAAAAAACGACGCATCACGACACACCGAGAAGCTATAAAGCAAATTACACACAAATTGATATGCATACAGGTTTCGACGGAAAATGCAAAACTTTACATTTTGGCTACCAATGAATGAACGATTGTCGCTATAGCGTATCTGATCCACGCGCAACTGGCAGGATATTTGAGAGGAGAAATTACGATTCCAGGTCATAAATTCTTCACGAATTTCATTCCCTGATTTCTGACAGACAGTAACTATGCCTCGCAAACAGGTGCGTGAACGATAAGCGCAGATGTCAGAATTTGAGAGAGGTCGTGTAGTTGGGCCAAAGAAGCCAGTTGGTCCTTATCGGCGAATAGCTCGACATTTGAGCAGGAGCGATGCCACTATTAGACGACGTTGGCAGGAATAGGTGAACCATAGCCGCACACAGCGTCAAGAAGGAGGCGGTGGGCCTAGAGAAACGACAGAACTTGAAGACCGAGCAATCGTCAGAGCGGCACTCACAGCCAAAGATGAATCATTATCATCGACTGTACATACAACTAGTGCTTCAGTGACTGTAAGGATCATTCATAGACGGCTCACAGAAAGGGGGCTGAGGTCACTGCGCCCCTTGCGCCGACTACCATTGACTTCTGTACAACGTCAAGCCCGCATGCAGTGGTGTCGGGCTCATTCGAACTGGAATGTCACTGACTGGAGTAGAATAGTCTTCAGTGATGAGTCCCGCTTTGAGCTGAGCCCCGATGACCAGAGAAGGCGAGTCTGGAGACGCCCTGGACAGCGGTGTGATACCAACCTGACTGTCTTCCGGCAGAAAGGCCGACAACTAAGGAGTGATGGTCTGGGGTGCCATTTCATTTTATAGTAGGACCCCTTTGGTTGTCATCCGTCGCAACATTACAGTGACAGCGGTACGTCGACGAAGTTCTAAGGCCCGTTGTGTTGCCCTTCATGTCACTCTACCCTGGGCTTACATTTCAGCAAGATAAAGCCCGCCCCCACACTGCACATGTTTCTATTGCTTGTCTTAGTGCTTGCCGAACATTACCTTGGCCAGCAAGGTCGCCGGATCTGTCTCCTATTGAGTACGTTTGGAGCATTATAGGCAGGGCCCTCCAACCAGCTCGGGATGTTAACGATCTAAAACGCCAGTTGGACAGAATTTGGCACGATATCTCTCAGGAGGACATCCGCAACCTCTATCAATTGATGCCAAGCCGAATAACTGCTTGCATAAGGGTCAGAGATGGACAAACGCGTTACTGACTTTTTCACTTTTTGAAGCTCTATCACTTCAATAAATCATCCAATTTTTTCAAATTGTAATCATTTGTTTTTCTGTACATGTACATCACTTCTACCAATTTTCGTCCCATTCGGATAATTCCTTCTTGGTGCACCTTTTTTTTTTTTTTTTCTTTAAAATTATATAATGCAGGGCTTTAATATTTGGTGGCAACATTTTGAAAAGTGAACCGATGCAAAATGTCGAAATGAAATTAACAGCCCTTCTGGGCAAATTGCCACAGTGGGCTAAAAAAAAAATATACCGTATATACCCGCGTATAAGTTGAGATATTTTGGACAAAAAAAAAAAAAAAAAAAAAAAACTTCATAGTGGGGGGTCAACTTATACTCGGGGCCATAAAAAATTAAAAGAATCGGAAGTTCAAAAATTTCTTTATATAATGCAGTTGTTTTCTTCCCGCACTCAAATTGGACGACTTATCAAATAAGTCACTTACTTGAAGTAATTTCATGACTTAAATTATGTGACGAACTAATCACAGAGTTTCATACTTTAACTAGAGTAAGTTTCACGCCAACACGCCAAGAAAAGAGAAATGCAGATAGTTTTTACGTACGTATAATAATAATAAGCCCTTCAAAGTAAATGTTAGAAAATATTGGGCAGAGTGGATTAGTTCCGGTCGACCAACATTTACAAAGGGAGGCAACATTAAAAAGCCCGATATTACATTAATTGCTCAGTGGGTTAAAGATGCTTGGAACGAAATACCCTCTGAAATGATTATAAAATCATTTAAAAAATGTTGTATTAGCAACAAACTAGACGGCACGGAAGATGATACTGTTTTTGAAAGTGAAAATGACGACGAAGGCTCTAGTAGTGATTGTAACAATACAGAGTTCGAGACTGAAAATATGTATGATGACGAGCCAATGACGGCAGAAGAGTTCTATGAAATGTTTGGCGAATCTGACCATGAATCGGACGTTGAAGGATTTTGATTTTGTTTATTTACCAAGTTTTTTTTATCGTATATTTACTTTTTTTTTCTCAGATGGTTTTGAATAAATGTACTACTTAAAAAAATTTTTTCGAATTTTCTCGATCGATTTCGGAAGTGGGGGGTCGACTTATACGCGGGTTTCTTATTTTCTACGAATTCTTTATGTCGAAGTGGGGGGGGGGGTCGACTTATACGCGGTATCTACTTATACGCGGGTATATACGGTACTTTGCACTTCACTGTAGTGCCTCTGAATATGACCTGAAATTTTAAAAGTATTGCGTAAATATACAGTAATGTTTAACACAGCATAAGCATTAAATATTAATGATGGTGCTACTTTTCCTCTAGAAGAGATACATATAGGCTCTTAAACAATGCAGGCTTGTATCACAACTCAGGTATCTTTAATGAACCTATTTAAAAATATTTTGGAGACTTAATGAAAAAAAAAATTATTTCTTTTATGGATAAAAACACATTGCATTAGATTACGGCAAAATGCTTATGTGGATGGATATTTCCAATGGCTCATATTCACACAGAAAAAAACACAAAAACTCCCATGTAATCAAGACTGAATCCACGATAAATTACCAGCATTCCGTAGTTTTTACCACTCACCTGCTGGTTGGCTCACTTGTTAAAACAGATCTACTTCATATTATTTTATAAATCAGGAAATTGTTTCAAATGCTTAGTTTCAAGATATTCTAGGCATTATTAAAAAATATAAAACACAAATTTTAATAATATTCTATAATATTATTAATTTTAATACTATTCTTTCAATTTACATAATGTACTTTTCTTAGCTGTGAATACCTTTCACACTGTTAAATATTTGCATAATCGCCTGTAGTAACGGCAACCGCCGGCAATAAAAGGAGGTGCTTTCCTTTATGGCACCGCAGTTCATTTTAGTTCGAGCCAGAGTTGACCTGCCCGGAGGAGAAGCCAGGGGATGAGAGATTCCGGTTCCCGTCTGGTTCCAGTCCTGTTCCGGTCCTGATCCAGTCCTATTTCAGTTCCAGTCCGGCCGTTTAAGTCCAAAACACGTAGGAGCGGAAGTCTGAATCCAGTGAATGGAGATATATGCCGAAAGGGCTAGATGGATTCTGTCTTTTAAAGGAAAGTGTTCTTCACCGTGCCGGCATAGCTGTTACTTTAAAGCACTTTGAAAGTTTTCCGCCCAAGATGTTAAGTTTTCGTTTATGATGTTAAGTTTTCATCAGTGTTGAAGTTCCAGTTAAATAAATCTTTAAGTTTTAAACAAGGTTTTTGTGTTCTTCAGAAAATTTTAGATTCGAAGTCAGATATATCATATAGGATTTAGTGGAAAAATCAACACTTGGCGCCAAGC